AGGCCGGGGACGCGGGGGCCGAGGCCCGGTCCGAGGGGGCGGGCGGGGAGGATGGCGGCGCCGACGAGCCCTCCTTCAGCGACCCCGAGGACTTCGTGGACGACGTGAGCGAGGAAGGTGAGGCGGCGCCGGGGTGGGTGGGCGGCAGGGCGTCCCCGCGCTGCACCTGTCGTCCGGCGCGGAGGGACGGCCTGCTGGGGGTGTCTGGGTCTCCTTTCCTGTTTCCTGTCTCCGAAATAAGGCGGGGGAGGGCGGGCAACTTGGGGACAACTTGGGAGCCTCCCGTGTGCACTGGAACCAGGAACTTGGAGGGTGGTGAGGGGCGGTAGCGCGCAAGCCGGAGCCTCGGCCGTGTGTGGCAATTAAGGTCGAGCAAAGCGGGACGCTCCACGTGCCGCGCTATCTCGGGTGACAGTTCCTTGTCTGCAGGCCCGGGTGCCCCGAGTGACGAGCCACACCTGTCAAAGGCCTGGGACCAACTTCGTGTGGACACTTTCTGGGGTTGATGCGTGCTGTCCCTTAGAACAGGTTGTGGCAGAGTTGGGTTCCTCTGCCCCTGCTGCATGGAAGCTCCTGCCTCCAGAGAGTTCCTTCGCAGGACTCCTGAGCCTCCTGCCGCAGTCCTGTTTGGTTCTAAGTGCGTAGGTGGACCACTGTCCTCCTGTTGGCAGATGATCTTTTCAGAGTTTAGCGTCATTCGCTGTAGCTTGCTTTGCTTTCCTTTTTACCTTGATTCAGTTTACAGGTGTTATGTCTGCTTTTGTCCTGAGAGCTTGTCTCCTAACGACTTCTGTAGGTGGCCAAGCTCATTTGTTTTTGTTCGTTTATGTTTTGTTTTTAGCCATTTGAACTCTCCGAGCTCTGAGGACATCAGTGGATTCCTCTACGTTACAGTAAAATAGGAAAGATAAGCCATCCGTGAAGCAGCTCAGGCTACACCAAGAAAATAAGATGTCACATAAAGATACGTTTTTTTTTTTAATCACACTGAGTCAGAATCAAAGAATCTCAAGTAAAAAAAAAAAACGAAACGTAGAGAACGAATAGCATCGTGTGCTTTTAAATGTAGTATTAAACCAATAAGAACAGGAAAGGCTGCACAGCTCGGGAACACTTGGGCTGCAGGTCCAGCTGCGGTCCCCTACCTGCGAGAAAACGTGTTCCTCGTGGTGGGGTAGGTGGCGGAGAATTTACAAGGAGGCAGTGTCACTGGGACCCCCACCACACTGTCCTGCCCTGACAGCATTCATTTTTACTGCACCAATTTTTCTTATATTTTAAAATCTAAGTTTTGGGTTGAAAGTCCATTTTGAGCCCCTGAGTGTTTACTCTGCAGTTGTTTTTTTATTTTTTTATTTTTATTTTTTTTAAAGATTTTATTTATTTATTTGAGACAGAGAGAATGAGACACAGAGAGCATGAGAGGGAGGAGGGTCAGAGGGAGAAGCAGACTCCCCGCCGAGCAGGGAGCCCAATGCGGGACTCGATCCCGGGACTCCAGGATCGTGACCTGAGCGGAAGGCAATCGCTTGACCAACTGAGCCACCCAGGCGCCCTGCAGTTGTTTTTTTAAAAAGCAATTGTTCGAGCACAAGATTACTAACTGGGCTGTGTGACAGGATGCTAATGTGGGCACAAGCCAGCCAGGCCAAGTGACTGCCGGGAGGGCCTTTGGGGGCCCTTGTGATCCTGCTACTTTTGCCAGAGTGCCCCAAAAGGCCCCTGGTCCTGGGCATCCAAAACTGAGCACATCGCCAGTGTTTTTGAGGCCATCTGATTGTGGTCAGTAGGCCAAGTACGTTTTGTGTTTAATGAGAAGAACTGGCCTGTGGGGTCAGCGAGATGCAGAAGGTATGGGTGGTATGAAAGCACACGGGGTCTCATGAGTCCCCTGGAGGTACCCGCAGCTCCGGCGTGGTTGTCCGACTCCTGATTCTGAGATGTTAGACTGTTGCCCAGTTGCCTTGTTCCCGCAGGCATTGGTCATCCATTTAAATTTTCAGCTGCCTTTGATGCTCAGCCAGACAAGCACATGACAAAGTTGGGTTTGTTTGTATTTGAGAGAGCGAGCAAGTGAGGAGAGGGAGAAGCAGACCGCCCTCCCTTCCACCTCCAACCCCTGCTGAGCAGGGAGCCCAACGCGAGACTCAGTCCCAGGACCGTGTCCCAGGACCCTGAGATCATGACCTGAGCTGAAGGCAGATGCTTAATCAACTGAGCCACCCAGGCGCCCCCATGACGAAGTTCTTAATTCAAGATGGTTTCTTTTGGGGCCTGTCGAATATTATTTATCTTTACATTTGGTATTTAGTTTTGAGAATTGCTTTTTCCTGTTTCTCCTGGGGCCAGGTTGGGAGTCAATTCGGCAAGAGTAACCAGACGCGTGGGCTGGTGATGATGAAGGAAATGTCTCTTCATTGTGCAGTTGCTGTGTTTATTCACTTACTGTATATGGTCATATTCTTATAAACTATAGACACTTAAAGATTGTGGGAAGGAGTCCACTGTTTGTATAAAAGCTGAGCTTTTTATTGTAAACCTTGTAAATTCAGATCAGGCTAAACAGGCCCTTTAATTGTATGGTAAGTGTGCTTTAAAAACAACCCAAGGAGCTGACTGCAGCCTCACTGGTTGAAGGTGTCCCCCATTGCTGTGACTCTGGTTGGCCTCTTTCCTTTTTTCTCTTTGCTTGCTCTCAATTTTAGCCTCTTTGCAGTTTAAGAGGCAATTATTTTTTTAAATAATGTTTT